AGTTAAGTATTCATTCGTTCAATCATTGGAGGGCCTACCATATACTAAAAATCACCATGAATCAGACCGCCCAGTCCTCAAAGGGCTTACAGTTGGATTAGAAATCAGAACTCTCTCTCTCTTTATTCTTTTTTTCTTTTTGAGATAGGATTTTGCTCTGTCACCCAGGCTGGAGTGCAGTGGTGTCACCATTGTTCACTGAAACCTCAAATTCCTTAGTTCAAGCAATCCTTCTGCCTCAGGCTCCCAAGTAACTGGAATTATAGTAGCATGCCACCACGCCCTGCTAATTTTTCTATTTTTTGTAGAGCCGAGGGTCTCACTCTTGCTCAGGTTAGTCTCTAACTCCTGACCTCAAGAGATCCTCTGGCTTTGGCCTCCCAAACTGCTAAAAAGCACAGGCTTGAGCCAGTACGCCTCACTTAACCAACTTTACAGATAAGACAACTGAGGTCCACAGAAGTGCCTTGCTCAAGGTCATACCGCTAAATAGCACCAGTGGTCTAGAACCAGCTAGCTAGGTCTTCACACAACTCTCAGTTTGGGACTCTTTCCACTGGGCAGTGTTCAGCCGCTTTTGAGTGCTGTATCTTACCTTCTATTTGAAGGATTCTACCCAGCTTTCTTGCCCTTTCCTTCTTTGTACCCTCCACTACCCACCTCCCTAACTTGGAGCCTAGATTTAAGAAAAAATGGTGAACCCTTTAGATAAAGTCTCCTGCTGGGCGTTTTGAACCGCCCTCTGCAAGAAAAGGAAAGATTATTATTATTATTTTTGAAAAGGAAAGAAAGATTATTTCCTTCTTGCGTTAACCCTTCCTGTACTGCTCGAGAGAAGTTGAGGACTTTTTTGAAAAAAAAAGACGGAGTGGCCTCACTCCGACCGAAAAAGTGGAGTCCCCGCCCCCTAGGCAGCCGCAAAGACAGACGCTGAGCCACCTGTCACAGGGCCGTGGGTGGGGGCCAGGGCCATGAGGACCGCGGAACCCGAGGGTGAGCGCCGTTGAGCGCACGCTCAGAGCAGACAGCTCGCAGGAGGCAGGATGGTCTTACGACCCTAGGAGCTGACCGCCAGAGGGAGGGAAAGGTGGTCACGCAGGCGAGGCAGAGCAACCGGAGGTGGAGGATCCTGGAGGTGACAGCAAGGAGAGTACGCAAGGGCGAGGGGCTGCTGAAGCGGGCCCGGAGACTTCTGCACTGACGCGGGGTGGGCGGGAGAGGAACGGAGGGCAGCGCGGTGGCGCTAGGGACTAGACCCGCCGGGGCGGGGGTGCCATGTCCCGCGAGCGGCCCCCCCGTACCGATATCCCTCGCAACCTGAGCTTTATCGCTGCGCTGACTGAGCGCGCCTACTACCGCAGCCAGCGGCCCAGCCTTGAGGAAGAGCAGGAGGAGGAGCCAGGCGAGGGTGGGACGCGGCCCGGGGCCCGATCCCGTGCTCACGCTCCGAGTCGGGGTCGCCGGGCTCGCTCTGCGCCCGCTGGAGGCGGCGGGATCCGGGCGCCCCGCAGCCGTAGCCCGGACACCCGCAAGAGAGTGCGTTTCGCTGACGCGCTGGGGCTGGAGCTGGCTGCCGTGCGCCGCTTCCGCCCCGGAGAGCTACCCCGGGTCCCCCGCCACGTGCAGGTCCAACTGCAGAGGGACGCCCTCCGCCACTTCGCGCCGTGCCAGCCCCGCGCCCGCAGTCTCCAGGTAGGCGACGGGGGCACGCCCCCTCCTCGGGACCTCCCTCAGCCGGCCGCGGCGGGCGTGTGGGAGTGGATCAGTCAAGAAACACCCATTACCATCCCGACTCGGTTTGCTCGCGCTCATCCCCTCTGGGGCCCCCATTGGCCTGCAGCTTTGGACCACCCCTCCAGCTGAGCCGAGGGCCTGAAGCTAGGGTCGGCCTCTGATTGGCCCATGTCTCACTCTGCCCCCGCCCCCTGTCTCTCCCCTTTTCGCCCTGGCTCCCTTCTCCCGGTTCCTTCTTTCCTCCAGGAGGCGCGCGCCGCTTTGGAGCCGGCCAGCGAGCCGGGCTTCGCCGCCCGCTTGCAGGCGCAGCGAATCTGCCTGGAACGCGCCGAGGCGGGCCCGCTGGGCGTGGCCGGGAGCGCGCGGGTGCTGGACCTGGCCTACGAGAAGCGCGTGAGCGTGCGCTGGAGCGCCGACGGCTGGCGGAGCCAGCGCGAGGCCCCCGCCGCCTACGCCGGTCCGGCCCCGCCCCCTCCGCGCGCGGACCGCTTCGCCTTCCGCCTTCCCGCGCCCCCCATTGGGGGTGCCTTGCTCTTCGCCTTGCGCTACCGTGTGACCGGTCGCGAGTTCTGGGACAACAACGGTGGTCGCGACTATGCTCTACGTGGGCCCGAGCACCCGGGCAGTGGTGGAGTCCCGGAACCTCAGGGCTGGATCCACTTTATCTGAGACGAGGCGCTTTCGGGCCAAGGCGGAAAAAACCAAAGGCACCAGGGGGCGAGGGGAACCCGATGTGGTGGAGAGGAATGGGAGAAACCAAGATTGGCTGGAAATCGTCCGAGTCTAGTTGGGGAGGGTGAGGAGAGTGGGGGACATCAGAGGGGCCCAGGGGTTAGGCGGAATCAACGAAGGTCGAAGGTCGGGAGAAACGCTGGTTGGATGTGAGTGAAAGGAACCCCAAGGCACAGGAGAAAGGAGATCCAAAAGGGCGCTGCAGAGATTAGTAAAAAGAATGGGGAGGATGGTGGCGTTCTCTCAGTAAGTAATCCGGTCAGGCCTAGGCAGTGAAAGGCTAAAAAATATTTTGGGGATTGAGGTGTTAGATAAAATAGCCCACCCCAGTTGAAGTCATTTAGATTGCTAGCTCATTCCCTTTCTTACCTGCCTTTGCCACCTCAGGTCCCCAGTCCTCTCCATCCTAGCTTTAATTCAGCCATAATTGCCTTGCATAATCCCAGGAGCTTGGCCATTGCCCCTGGTTCTTATCACCCCTGACAGTTCTAGCTTCAGGCCTTCAGAACTCCAGCCTCCAAGCAGCCTTAGGGATGAAAATGGAGGCTAAAGCAACTCCAGGGTTGTCCTTGTAGCCAAATAATGAGGTGCACTCAGAAAAATGCCAGCCTTACCTTTCTGGGGTGCCTTCTGGTAACCTCTAAGCACTTTATGGACTGTGTTTGTCAAAGGATGGTGAAGCATGAGAATCACTATTCCAGTTTTTTTCTGCCTCAAAAGAAAAAGAAGTTACTAACTAGATGTGAAATTTGGGCAAACATACTTCACCTCTTTGTGCCCCAGTTTTTTCCTTGAAATGTAGGATTTGGTTTAGATGATCTCTGAAAGGCTCCATCTTGTTTGACATTTATGACTGTGAGTGGCAGAGTGTAAATTAGAAGCCACACTAGTGCTGCAGTTCAGAACTGGCAGCCCCCTGAGTGTCAGCTTAGGGCTGAAGATGTGTGCTCTAGTTTTTGGCACAGATGTTCCACAACTCAGGAAGCATCCCATAAGCAACCTGAAGCCCTAAGGTATTCCACAGTCTCTTCCAAACCGCAGCTTATCCTCTGCCCTTTTTTGCTCTTGATCCCTTGGACTTCTAGCCTCTGTTCTCTGAGACAGCTTTGGGAAGGAGCATTTTTGTTGGGGAAAAAGATGTGTGAGAACTCCAAGATGAAAGGAATCAGTGTTGAGGGTTCTCTTGAGGATAAAAGATTATGATATAAGGCAGTGGTCCCCAACCTTTTGGCACCAGGGACCAGTTTTATGAACCAATTTTTCTGTGGACCTGGGGTGAGGGAAATGGTTTCAGGACAATTCAAGTGTGTTACATCTCCACCTCAGAACATCCATCATTAGAGTCTTGTAGGAGGCTTACAGCAGGGCTCATGCTCCTATGGGAATCCAGTGCCACTTACCTAACAGGAGTCAGAGCTCTGGTGGTGATTCAAGTGATGGGGGATGGTTATAGAGATGCTTTGCTTGCTTGCTGTCTCACAGTTTACCTTGTGCTATGCAGCCTGGTTCCTAATCAATACTGGTCTACTGCCCAGGGGTTGGGAACCACAGGTGTAAGGAATAGAAAATATTCCAAATCAAGAATCAAAGCAACTTGAATATTAAATGCACCAAAAGATGCATCAGAAGATGGTAGTCAGTGCTGGTCACTGAGCAAGTGAAAGTGAAAGCTGCATTCCACATCCATGCCTTGTGTCTCCTGCTGGTTAATGGAAATCATTCCTTTGCTGGTTGCTTGTTTTCCTTTTCTCTCCCTACTCTGAGATGAGGCTCCTTTCTCTTCTCTTTTCTCTTTCTTTCTTGTTCTCATCACTTTTTCCTTTTAACATGTAGGTTTACCTTCGTTTTTGTCTACTTCCATTTTCCTTCCTCTTCATCCTTGTTCTCTGGTATTCCTTCTCCCTCCAGAAGGGGTGGAGAACCCACTTCCTTTTCTCCAAGACCATGGTTGTTCCACCTTCCTCCCTCAGGCTCCTTCTTGACAATCTATTAGAAGGGAAAGAAGCAGTTCCTGATGCTACACATGTTACAAGGAACTCACAGGTAATCAACTCCCAAGCCCATTTCTGTTATTGATTTCTCAAAGAAAAATTTCTGGATCCCCACTCCCTTAACCAAGTCAAGGGGGTGGGGCATGCACATGTTCCCACACATACACTCAGATCAGAGCATGGGGCTTGTTACCGTGCTCCTGTCTATAGCCTTAATCCATTGAAGACTGGAAGGAGTGGAATCCCCAGGTTATTCCTCAAACAAATGTCCATTTAAACATCATCCTTATCTTGTGAAGAAAGCAGAGTTTCATGCATCTTGTGGATCACCTTCAGGTCAAAATTCCAGCAAAGTGAAGAGAGAAACTGTACTGGAAACCACAGAGCAATGCACTGTTTACTCATCAATTAGGAGCCCAAGGGAGGATGATATGAAGGGTGACTGGGTCCATACGCAGTGGGTAATCTCTTGCCTAATGTGTGTGTGTTACTGTCCTGTCATATTAACAGTAGTGATAACTCAGATTTACTTAACATTTAACTGCTAAAATCTGTTTTGGATGCATGCTCAAGACAGCCCTGAGTTGAACATTGTCATTATCTCTGTGTTAGCGATAAGGAAACAGGCTCAGAGAAGCCCACTTATTTGCCCAAGATCATATAGCTAGTAAATGGCAGAACTAGAATTAGGAACCCGTGACATCTCCAGAGCCCCTATGCATAATCATGATGTTATATTTTTTCCCTTTAAACCTTGCTATATATCACCTCTCATTAGGAAAGGAGCATAGTTTCTCACTGCTCTGCTTTCCCATCCTATCAGTCCCCCAAACTGACTTGGAGAAAGCAAGGGGCCCCAGGCTTCATCTGTTCCTTGCAGGAGCTTGCGACTATTTCCTGTGCCAGTATCCCAGCTCTGTAGGATCAGCAAGGGACGTTCTGCAAGAGAACTTGGGAACCTGTTAAAACTCTAGCCTTTGTATCCATTGGGATTCTCTCCTGGCCCTAGCCAACCCACTTTGCCTGTTTTTGTGCCACTTCCCTCCCCCTTCCTGCACTAGCCTTGAACAGGCAAGTCCTGTAATGTTTCCACTGGAAGAGTTCCCAACTAGGACAACTGTTGGGTGGTCTGTGCTTGGACTATCTCTAGGAACTCTGGTATTACTGACAGGGTAAATGCAAACTCTAATTTGGGGCAGAGAACTAAGGATAATACTGTTCCCTAAGCTCTTTCTATGTAAGAAGTACCATGGTTCACCCATATCCCCATTCTTAGCTTTGTAGAACAACACCTGAGTCTTCTGGTTCTTGCCATTTTGAGCTGCCCCAGGGCCTGGGGTTAAGCTGATAGTGTCCCCCCTCAGCCTGGGCTGAGCCACCTTCTTACATACACAAATACTGGGTTTCTCCCTTTTTGAACCTGGGCTTATACAACTAGCAATGCCACCAAACCTTGTAAAATAGGGAATAAACTAGTAATTTTTGAATGGCTTCTGTGTGCCTGGTCCTTTTGAGATTCTCAGGAGGGATTCTTTGTTGTTGTTGTTGTTGTTGTTTGCAGTTTTTGGCCAGGGCCGAGTTTGAACCCGCCACCTCCAGTATATGGGACTGGCACCCTACTCCTTGAGCCACAGGCGCCACCCCATCAGGAGGGATTCTTTGCCCTTATGGCTTTTAGCATCCACTCCTTTCTCATGACATGAGCAGTGAGAGTCTCCCTAGCCTGTGGCTTTTCCTCACCTTGGGCTGAGCTGGTGCAGCACTACCAGAAACCCCACCATCTGGAAATCAACCAAAATTAGGTGTTATAGGGCAGCGCCTATATATGGCTCAAAGGACTAGGGCGCCAGCCCCATATGCCGGAGGTGGCGGGTTCAAACCCAGCCCTGGCCAAAAACTGCAAAAAAAAAAAAAATTAGGTATTATGCCCTTTCTTCCCTGCATTGTTCTTTCCAAAAGTTCCAACTGTATTTCTTTCTTTTTTTCTTTTTTCTTTTCTTTTCTTTTCTTTTTTTTTTTTTT